GCCCAAGGTTGCACAGCCAATAAATGGTAGAACCAGGATTCGACAACAGCTTACTCTCTGGAGGATTTCACCCACCCCCCCCCAGCTCCCTCCTGTTAAGTCTGAGGTGCCTCTGTCCTCTTCTAACAGAAGGTCTTCCCTGATCCAGAGGTGAAGTTAGGGAGAAGTGACAGCTCCACCACCCTCAGAATCCCTGCCCGGGAGCCCTCAGGCATCAAGATCAACTCCAGGAGGCACCCTGGGATGGGGGTAGGGCTGGCCCCACAGAGAACAAACAGCCTCAAAGACCCCCCAAGGGCCCTGCATGGGATGGCCCCAGGGCCCCAGCTTGGCCTGATTGCCTGGCCTCTGTCCAGAGTGGGCAGCTGAGGGGCAGCTCTTGGGGCTCCCAGGTCTCTGGGCTCTTGCCCTATCCTGCCTACCCACAGGGCCAAAGGCTCCAGAGTAGAGAGAAGACTCCACCTGGGTCACTGTGAACATCTGGCATTTTCTCCTCACACCCTAACTGCTGCCCTTGACCTCCAGGGTCCCTTTCAAAAGTGTCTCCTGCCGGCTTGGCCCTGCATCCCCCTCCCACCCAGCCAGGCCCCTGAGGTATCCCAATAGGCGCTCTATCCACCCTGCCAGCCACAGACCTCCAAGCCATTTATTTCCAACCCAGCCGCTGGCCCCAGTGTTCTCCCAGCTCAGGGCCCCCTCCCTGAGCAGCTGGAGGGCAGGAAATCGTAAAAGTCCATGGTGGCAATAAAAGGCATTAGCCATCTGAGCACTTGTCCACAGTGCCCGAGCAGCCGTCTATCCTTAAGCAGGAAATATTGTTTCATGCCGATGGTAATGAACGAATCAAATTTTGAAAATTAAACCAGAATTTGAGCATTAGGGCCAGGGTGCTGGCATTTGGTAAGCCAACTGGCTCTGCTGCCACTGCCCTGCTCTGCCCTCAGGGGCCCACTTGCCCTGCACGGGCAGCAAGATGCTCCCCAATGGCTAGTGGGGCCCCTAAGGCACAGCCTTGAACTATCCCCCTTAGGGGTCTGCCCTATACACGAGGTTCCATTGAGGTTCCACCTTGCATTGCTTCTTCGCTTTTTGGGCTTGCTTTTGAAAAGCAAATCTTTCCAGACTGAGCCCCATACTGCCCAGACACCCTAAGTGAAGAAGCGCAGGAGTTTTTATCTCCCCCAGGGGAGAGATCAAAGGAAGCTTGAGGTTCTGGCAGCCAGCCTCCATGCCTTTTCATAAGCTCCTCTGGCTTCCCAGGGTATCACTCATGCTTTTTATAGGTTAGGACACATAAGCTCAGAGTTAGATTGGGGTTCTAGGAAAACGAAAGAGATTCCCGAGGCTAGAGGAATGGGAGATGTGTGTTGGGGGAGGGGGAACGGGGGCACCTGGAAAAGCAAAGTCAAACTTCCCCAGGGTCCCCTTCCTGCAAGCCTTGTGCCAGGGGGAACCACTTGGGAGGAGGTAAATGTGCAATCAAAGGGGTCCCTCCCCCTGCTCAGCCTTTGCTCAAATTCTGAAGTGGGCCTGGAGTCCCCTGCATCTTCTTCTGGACATCACAACTCCAGCCCACTTATTCCTGGAAGCCTGCCAGTCCTGCCCAGCACTGCCAGTCTATAAGCCTGGTTCCCTCCGGGGAGGGTACACCAGTTCTGGGGGCCACCATGTGGCAGCCACGCTGGCCTTTGTCTTGTTGGGAGATTTGTTTACTGTGGATGGTCTGTGTCCTATGTAGATGTCAGCGCCAGCAAGCAGATTCCACTTTTGGTTGTTGGTGTCTGGCACAGAGAAGGTGCTCACCAAACAGTTGTTGAATGACTACATTAACATGCTCCCCTTACACCAGGGGTGGGCCGCCTCACCAAATCAGGGCAGGGCAAACCAATGGGAAGTGACACTCCATTTCCTCTTCCTCCTGGATGGAAAAACCCAAGTAATGATAATGATTGTTATTGTCATTACTGCTGGCCTGACACTGTCCCTGCAGCATCTCTTAGAATCTTAGCAACCACCACACCAGTTGCCACTGAGTTGATTCTGACTCATGGTGATGCTTAAGTATTGCAGAGCAGAACTGCTCCATAGGGTTGTCAAGAAGCAGATTGCTAGGCCTTTTCTCTCAGGCACCTCTGAGTGGGTTTGAACCACCAACCTTTTCGGTTAGTAGCTGGGTGATTAACTGTTTGCGCCACCCAGGGACTCCATCACATGAAGAGGGCCTAACTTATCCCCATTTTATAAACCTAAAAAAATGAGGTGCTGGGAGGCAGGGGACCTTGAGTTTGAGCCAGTGGGCCTAGCCAGGAAGGAAGAGGTCTGCTCCCCTACTCAGTGTCCTCCCATCCGCAGGTCTGGGAGACAAGCCTTAAACATGCTCACACAGTAACCAAACCCGAACAGAATGAAAGGAGTGCAAACTGGACACATCTGAGGATCCTGGCGGGGGGGTGGGGGAAGACATTTGAGTTAGGTGGGGTCAATCCAAGTTTCTTTGGTTTCTTGCAGCCTTCCAGAAAGGTAAGATTGGCTATAGGTCCCCGGGGAAATCAGGATGGGCAGAAAGAGGGGGAGCCTGGCCCCCTACACATTTAGAAAGCCCCCAAAAAAGGAGGGGCTCAGGCCCAGAACTGAGAACTGCCCAGTAAAAGAAGATTTCAGGGGAAAGGGAGAAGGAATTAGAGAGACAGAAAGAGAAAAAAAAAAAAAGGAAAAACTGGCAAAAGGAAGTGGCTGGATAGAAAGGCACGTGTGGATGAATTTTAATGCAATCAGAAAGCTGTCATAATGATAATAAAGGAATATATTCAGATGTCAGGAGAAGAGAAGGCGCTGAGCTGCGGTCCCAGCATTTAAATCAGGCGCAGGCGGAGGAGGTGCCTTCTCTACCCTTCCTTTCTCTTTCCAAAGGAGGAAATGGAATTTTTAAGCAGGAGGGCCGGGGATTAGCAAGGGGGGACTTTTCCACTTGTTTGTCTTTCTGGAAATCCCACTGAATCGGAGCCTTTAAAAGTCCCTGGGGGTAGGGAATGGAGGGTGGGGGACGGGGGAAGCACTGGGCCCAGCCTGGAAAGAAGAGCTTAAATTACTCCATCAAGACTTTTAAAGCTCCCGTTTCACTTCAAGTAAAATGTTGCTGCTTCCGGGAGTCAAATATAAGGGCTCCCCTCCCTGCACTCTCCTGTCTCTGTCCTCTCCTTCTGTCCATCTCTCTGCTCTTTGTCTTTCATTTCTAATTCTTGTTCCTCTGTCTCCGCCCTTTTCCTTCTCCCTCTCTGCCCCTAAGTCAACTTCCTCCTATCCCTTGTCAGCCTCACCCCAACCTCTCCCTGTCTTCCTTTCTCTTGGTTTCCCAGTCCCTGCTCCCTACCCGAGAACTTGGAGAGCCAGGTGGGCCTTGTCTGAGGCCCTGGAAATGGGACGAGGGTGTGCCCAAAGCCCTGCCACAGCCCAGGAAGCCGGCAGAGGAGCCAGTGGGGCTCCAGAGCTTTGCTGAAGCCTGACAGTGGTGGAGAACTGTGCTCCATAGGGCTTTCAGTGGCTGATTTTTTAGAAGTAGATTGCCAGGCCTTTCTTCCAAGGTGCCTTAGTTAGCAGCCATTTGCACCACCCAGGGACTCCTCCCCAGAGCAAGCATCCTCAAAAGAGAGAGCCAGGTGGAAGCTGATCCCTATTATGACCTAGCCTGAGAAGTCTGGCCCCATAGGGCAGCTCTACTCTGTCCTGTGGGGTCACTATGAGTCGGCATCAACTGGATGGTAACAGGGGAAGTCTGGCATAACTTCTGCCATTCTTTATTAGTTACAGCAGTCAAAATCCCCACCCAGATTTAAGGGGCAGGAACATCACCTCATTTCTATGGGTAGGAGGAGTGAAAGTCACATTGAAGTAAGAGAACTTTTCGCAGTCATTTAGGAAAGAGCAAGCTGCCACAGATCTACAAAACCCAGTGTGATCCCTGACAACTTGAGCACACAGCTGGGTGGGATCAACAAGCCACATGGTCCTCATCACAGAGCCTGAGCCTGGGTGTGTGCAGGCTGCTAAGGGAGCTCAGCCTTCAGAAAGAGGCTCCCCAAAAGTGCCCTGGCTTAATTTTGCAGCATGAGTAAGAGGGGCCAGATCAAGGAAGGCGTATGCACATGGAGGAAAAAACATGTGGGACAGGTGTGCCCTTGGGCATAGCACAGGGCATGCATTCATACACACTTCATTCATTCCACAGCTCTGTATTGTAAGCCTACTATGTGCCAGGCACTGCTGCTTCAGCAGAGGGGCCTGGTCCCTTTCCCCAGGAACCAAACATGGGGGGTGGGTGCTAGACAGAGACCAGCTACACAGGCAAAGCAGTAAATAATCGTCCTTGGAAAGTGGGGCCTTGGAGGACACCATGGTGGGGTGCTGAGACAGAGAATGGGGGGAGAAGGATGGAGGGGCCTTGATGAGGTGATATTTAAGCTGAGATCTAGAGGAAGAGGAGTCAGCTTTGTAATGTGTGTTTGGGGAGGGGGCACTCCAGCAAGTGCAGACAGCATACGCAAAGGCCCTGGGTGGCAGATTCACCGATGGTGAGCTAATCTTGAGACCTGTGGAGGAAGGTGGCTGAGGAGGCTAGTGTGTGCTCCAGAGGAGTGAAGAAAGGCACGCCACGTTGCCTGGATGAGTACACGCCCGCGGGCCCCCACCTCTACGCAGCAGGCTAGCGGCCAGACCGGCGGCTCTGCTCAGCGTGCTCTCGGGGCAGGAGGAGGCCAGAGGCCGCGTCGCTGCAATCCGGCTCTCTCTCGACCCAACCCGTCGTCTCTCCCTCCCTGTCTGGCTCTGCCCTCCTTCTCTCCCTGCTTCTCCCTCTCCCTGTTGCCCTTCCTCCTCCCGTTATCCCCTGCTCCCCGCCCAGCTCTCCCTCTCCCCGCTGCCCGGCGCCGAGCCCTCCTCCCCCGGGTCCGCCCCCGCGGCGCCCGGCCCTTGGCCCGGGTAAGCATCTCCTAATTTTGTTCTAGAAGATAGAAAACTCTTCGTGGGTATGCTCAACAAACAGCAGTCCGAGGACGACGTGCGCCGCCTCTTCGAGGCCTTCGGGAACATCGAGGAGTGCACCATCCTGCGCGGGCCGGACGGCAACAGCAAGGGTGCGTGGAGGCGGTGAGGGGCGGAGGGGGCGGAAGGGGCGGGGCGGCGCGGAAGGGGGCGGGGAGAGGCCGCCGACAGCCCACCTGACCCACAAGCCTGGAATAAGGGCTGCTCCGCTCTAGACGGAGAGGGGTCCCGCTCCAAAGCCTGGTCGGGGACGAGGAGACTTAAGGGTACTTTTAAGTCTCGGGCCCGTCCAGTTCTATCTCTGTGTTGCTCTCTCTGTCTCTGTTTCTCAGTGTCTCTCTCAATCTCTGTGTTTCTCCCATTCGGCTTTCATCTGGGATGCTCCCTCTCTCCCTTCCTGTCCCCGCCTCTCCGTCCCGCTCTCTCATCTGGCCTTCCTCTGGGCCCTCGGGGGCCGTGGCTCAGCCTCTCCCGTCCCCCCAGGGTGCGCTTTTGTGAAGTACTCCTCCCACGCTGAGGCGCAAGCTGCCATCAACGCTCTACACGGCAGCCAGACCATGCCGGTGAGTGCGACCCCCACTCCCTGGGTGTGGGCGGGGGTGGCAGCGGGACCGAGATGCCCCGCACCGGCTGGGCCTTGCTCGCCCTCGCACAGTCCACGCAGTGCCAAGCGCTTGCCGCGCTCACAGCCTCCCAGGAGACAGGAAGGCACTACCTTTACCCCCATTTCTCAGACAAGGACATTGAGGCCCAGAGATGTTAAAGAACGGGACTGAGGTCACCCAGATTGAAAACGCCCATCGTGGGGTTAAGACATCACATTCCTGGGCGAGCACCGATGCCCTTTCATCCCCCCACCCCGTAGCGCTCTGCGGATTGGGCCGGGTGGGCCCTGGCCTGGGGCGCGGACAGCTGGGGGCAGAGGCAACCAGGGGTGCTAGGCCTCACGTGCCATCCCGGCCACAGGGAGCCTCGTCCAGTCTGGTGGTCAAGTTTGCCGACACCGACAAGGAGCGCACTATGCGGCGAATGCAGCAGATGGCTGGCCAGATGGGCATGTTCAACCCCATGGCCATCCCTTTCGGGGCCTATGGCGCCTACGCGCAGGCAGTAAGTGTGGGCACCACGGGGCAGTCAGGTGGGAGGGGCTGCAGCCCACACCCCTGGGAGCGCCTAAGAATAGGGAGATCTAGCTGCACCCAGGGGATGCTGCCAGGGAGTGCTGCTCCGGGTGCATAAAGTACTGGAGGGCCAGGAATGAGCCCAGGAAGTGAAGGTGGGAGGGGGTTGCAAAGGCTAGACCAGTCCACGGTGGCTGCCTGGAGGAGGTGGGTTGCTGTCCTGGTTCTTAAGAAGGGAAGGAAACTGGATGGAAAGGCTCTGGGTAACGGCGCGAAGGTGGGTTACCCTGAGCACCCCCCACCCTGAGCCAAATCAGTGCTGAACCCTAGAAAGGCTGATGGGGGATCAGGTGTTCTGTCGTCACCACCCCTCCCCCACTCACCGAAGGGTGTCCTCAGGCCTTCTGGTTACTCCTGGCCGCAATCCTGTGAGGTGTCCCAAAACTTTCACACCCACACCGTCCCCGCAGTTCCCCAGGCCTCACCTTAGGGCTCTGACCCACCATCTTCTTTCTTTACATTGAAGCCCGTTCTGCCAGCATCTCCCCTGAACTGCCTTCCAGACTTACATCCATAACGCCCACCTGGATGGTCCTGAGCTAGACCTGGGCTCTGGTGCTAAAAATGCAAGCTCACCTCACTTCTTCAGCAGTGTCCAGCCTTGGCCAATTTCAACAACCTCCCCAGCCTCCACTCATCTTTGTGAGGACACCAGGGGCGCCAGGCTTTCTATTCCATGTGTGTCCTGTCACTTCTGCCCAGCAGAGCTCCAGGTTAGGGCTGTTTTGGTCAGAAATCCACGCCAAGTTAATTCTACAGAGGCTCATCCAGCATGTCTGAAGCACCTTGGGTGTGGCATCCCCAGGAACGGCAGGCCTCATACAGGGCTGACCAGGGCTGCCCCTCTTCTCCAACACTAGAGTCCCAAGACCCCAAAGACCATTGCTTTTGAATACAGTTATCTACAAGGAGGTGTTCTCTAATAGCCACTGAGGACTGATGGGCAGGGGATAGGGGAGGCATCAGGGCTCTGTGGGGGTGGGGGCAGGGAGACATGTCTGGGCTCCCTGGGGTTCAAGGCCTGGGAGGCTGGCCTCCAGAAGCTAAGCCCCCTGGTGGGGAGGGCTGCTCTCCTGGAAGCAGGTGATATTTTTTCCACTCCCTCTGCCCCAGCTGATGCAGCAGCAAGCGGCCCTCATGGCCTCAGTTGCACAGGGTGGCTACCTGAACCCCATGGCTGCCTTCGCCGCCGCCCAGATGCAGCAGATGGCAGCCCTCAACATGAATGGCCTGGCGGCCGCACCCATGACCCCAACCTCAGGTGAGCTGACAGGTACCGACACAGGGCCTGGCTGAGAGCACCTGGGCCCACACTAGGCCTTTTGGTGGGCCAATCTGGGTTGCCAGTGGGACCGTCCGGTGGCAAGAGCACATGGTGTCTGGGCCCCAGCAGGCCTGGCCCTCTGATAGTTTATCTCAGAAATGTTCTAATCCCTGGGGATGCAGAGGGGAGAAGGGACACAGTGGGCTCCATGAAGCCCACAACATGATTTCAGGGTGCTGAGAATTTCACTTAAGTTGTTTAGCCATGTGAGGGAACTATTCATCTCAATCTTTATTAACAGTAAATATCTGGAAAGAAATTGAAATGAAAACATCCTCCTTTGAGGTCTGCATGGAGAAGACCACTGCCCATTCTGTGTCCTTGTTCAGTCCATGGCTCAAGCACAGAAGAAGCACCCCCCACCCCTCGCCTTTTTTTTTCATTTACTTTTAACCCAGCATAGACCCACTGGCTTTGTCTAAGACAGCTTTACAACAAGCTAGGGAAAACCACAAGAGTTATCAAAGGACAGGAGGGTTGAAAACAGCCCAGCTCACAAAGCATGTTTCTGATTGGATCTTTGCTATTATTTAGTCCAGTGATTCTCAACCAGGGGCAACCTCCCCTGCCCCCCAAGGGACATCTGGCAATGTCTGAAGACATTTTTAGTTGTCACAACTGAGGGAGGGTATTCTACTGTAATCTACTGGATAGAGGACAAGGATACTGCTAGACATACTACAATGAACAGAACAGTCTCCAGCAACAAAGAATTATCCTGTCCCAAATGTCTATAGTGTCAAACTTGAGAAACTCTAGTCCCAGGGGCTGGCCCAACACCCCAGGCCCTCATTCACCAAGCTTCCTTGGTTTTCTGTGCCCAGGCCATACCGGCAGCCTTCCTACACCCAGGATCTGGCCACTGGGATCCTTGTTCCCTTCCCAGCCAAAGCCACAAAAGACTGTGTCACTGCTAGGCCCAACTTGGGCAGTCCCCCGTAGCTCTCGTGCCCAATCTCAGGGAACTCATGAGCTCAGGCAGTGGGCCAGCCCTAGATCCTCATCCACAGAGAGAGCCTGCTTCCTACATGTAGAGGAAGGCCCTTTCCAGACTGAGGTCTCAGTACCATCAGCATTCCATCCTGGCATGAGGAGAGGACGGGGTATAGTCATCCAAACCCAACTTTACTCTTGCCACCACTGCATCACCACCATTGCCTCAAGTGGAGGAGGCCAAGGTATCTACTTTGTGTATGAGATAGGGCTGAGTCTGGAATCTCCAATGATTTCTCTCCCTCAGCATAAGGGAACCCTAGAATTAAGAGAATTAAGACTGCCTCCACCTGAGCAGCAAAACTCCTTCATGAGGAGGTGGATTAGCTCCTTAGTAATCTAGATATGAGAGGTGAACCAGCAACTTAGAAACCCCTTGGTGGCAACAAGGACTAGCCCACCCTGACTGAGCTAGAGTGAGCAAGAGCCAGTGACTGGAAAAAATACTGAAGGAGAACCCAGTGTGGTCAAAGTCAAAGGCACTGAGGAACAATCAGTGGTCAAGGAAGCCTTCATGGGGTAGGTGGCACTTGGACTCTGCCTTAAATGATGGATACAGTTGGGATGGGTAAAGTCACTCCAAGCAGGGAGATAACTAGAGGCATGTTCACAGATAAAATTGAGCTGGTGTGTGAGGTCCAAATCTATCCCCCAGTGCTTGAGGTCAGCAGGGCAGAGCTTCACAGGGTATCCTTTGTCTCCTTTGTCCTGCTTGCCTCCCCTATTCCTCCACCCTTTCTCACCCCTGAAACCAGGTGGCAGCACCCCTCCGGGCATCACTGCACCAGCTGTGCCTAGCATCCCGTCCCCCATTGGGGTGAACGGCTTCACCGGCCTCCCCCCACAGGCCAATGGGCAGCCTGCTGCAGAAGCTGTGTTTGCCAATGGCATCCACCCCTACCCAGGTAAGCACATGGGCAGCCCTTCCTTCCCCATGCAGCGCACTCCTCATCCATTCTGCCCCTGCCCTTGCTGTTAAAACAGGGAAGGTGTGGCTCCTGCCCACTCTCTATTCCTTGGAGGAACACCAGATGTGATCAGGGTGAGCCAGCCTCCCCGACTCCCTCAGGGAGCCCATGGTGGGAAAGAAGAGGCTAAAATCTCACCCTAGGGGAGGTGTCAGTCTGATTGGTGAAGAACCCCATTTCTGGGGCTCCCACAGAGAGAGAGAAAGAGAGAGAGACTGTTATTTTTGTTGTTGTTAGTTGCTGTCAAGTCAATTCTGACTCATAGTGACCCCACGTGTGCAGAGTAGAGCCGTTCTATAGGGTTTTCAAGGATGTGACCTTCTGGAAGCAGATCACCAGGCCTGTCTTCCAAGGGGCCTGGGTGGGTTCAAACCACAAACCTTTTTGCTAGTAGTCAAGTGCTTAACCATTTGTGCCACACAGGGAGTGCTACATAGAGACTATATCCATTGCTGTTGATTCTGACTCATAGCAACCCTATAGGACAGAGCAGAACTGCCCCATAGGGTTTCTGAGGCTGTAATGTTTACGGAAGCAGACTGCCACATCTTTCTCCCACAGAGCGGCTGGTGGGTTCGAACCACAAACCCTTCAGTTAGCAGCCAAGTGCTTTAACCACTATACCACCAGGGCTCCTTATAAAGAGACTATTAACTGTAAATTATTTGAGCATGAGTTTGTCCCATAAGAAGTGAGGAAACAGAAACTAAAAGAATGACAAGATTTAGGGTTAAGTTGGGAAAGACTTTGGGAAGGAAGTAGATGTATATGGATTGGCAGTCGGGTTAGTAATACCAGTCTAGTCCCTTGGTGAATACAAAACCTTGGTCAGGACCTTGGACAGCAGGCGAGCTACTCAAACAGCTCTTGGGTTTGCCCACTTCCTCTGAGCAGTCAGCACAGTTTGGCAACCAGGAAGATCCAGGAGGCCTGTTCCCTGATTGGCTTTGTCCCTCTCAAACTCAGCGTTTCCCAGGTAGTGAGAGTATATGGTTGAACTGAAGCAGTTACTCTCTCAGGCCTGGAGGATGGGCTGACATTGGGGCAGGGACACTGGGTGCAGCGCCATAGGGCCAACTGTTGTTATTAGGTATTGAGTCCATTTTCGAGTAAAGAGTTGCTTTACAGGGTTTTCTAGGCAGAATCTTTTTGACAGCAGATCGCCAGGTCTTTCTCCCATGGAGCTGCTGGATGGCTTGGAACCGCCAACCTTTTGGTTAGCAGCTGAGCATTTAACTGTTGTACCACCAGGGCTCCTTATAGAGTAATTGAGATGTGAAGAGTGCAGCCCTCCTTCCTGGAGAGCAAAGGACAAGGTTGCGGAGTTTCAATAAGTATTAGTAAGTGCCCAGTCTGTGCTGGATGCAAGAGGGACCCCAGAAGGAGGGCAGGACAAGGGCCTACCCTCCGGGAGGCCACAGTCTAGTCTGGAACATGATATATATCTAAACAATAGTGAGACAATAGGCAAAATGAAGTCTGATCAAGAGTGAAGGTTCTCAGATTCGAAATGCTAAAAAATTCAAACTAAGGGAGAATCCTCTGTAGGCTGAAGAAGCCCAAAAAGGCTTCCCGAGGCGGAGCCTCAGACTGAACTTAAATGGATAGGTAGAAATTGGAGAGGTGAGGCTGAATGAGAAGCCCACTCCTGTGGAATGAGGATTATACTGGAAGTGCAGAGGCAGGAAGGGGTCTGCCTAGCAGGGTGGGCAGTGGTAAGGAAGTTGACCAGCTTGGGGCAGAGGAGGCCAGCCTGGGCTGGGTCAGCAGGAGGGGCACATTAGAGTTCCCTAGTCTGGCTGCCTGTCGGAACCCACTGTGGGGCTTAATAAAACCAGAGAAGCTCAGACATTCTAATTTCAGTGTCTACAGTGAAGCCCAGACATCATCGTATTTAAAAGCTTCACCAGCAGCAGTGTGGAGGGCCACTGTACTAGAGGGAAGCAGAGAAGGAGAACTTCTTGACTCTGAACTTGGAGTTGTCCTTGATCCCCTCCCAGTGCTTAGTTCACAATTCAGCCTTCAGTCCACAGAGGAGGGGCCAGAGAAGCCTACAGAGTGAGGTGGTTGGGCCGAAGGATCTGGAGTGTTGTTTCAAGATGAAGACTTCAGGCTGGTGGGGGGCGGCAGGAGAGGGCTTAGCAAGCTGGAGCAGGGAGAAACTCCACCATTCTCAGGCTCCTGGGCTGGGAGATAGAGTCCCCAGCACATCTGGGCGGCTTCATTCCCCGCTCCTGCCTGCCCACAAGCCCATCTGGATCCCTGGATCTTGACAAACCTGTTCCTTCCCCACCCCCACCAGCATCTGTGAGCTATTTCCCTCATAGAATTTGGAAATGTTTCTTTCTCCCATTTGTAACAATCTGCCACATCCCATAAACAATTCCCTGCCAGAGCAGGAGGGAGGGATGGAAGGAAGGAAAGGAGAAAAGTAGTACATTAAAAAAATTAATCTACCATCTTTAAATGCGGAGTTTGGAGCTGCTGTAATGAGCGAGATCCTTCAAAGTGTTCACTCTTCGGCAGTTATTAATGGAGGTCGTTAAGCAGAGAAGTAGAGAGGGGCCTCAGAAATGCTTCTCTTCACTTCCTAGCCTCAGGTAGCCTCTGTGTTCTCCCCTTGTGCTCACAGAGATCATGTTTGAGGCACACAGTATGACCTCTACTGCCACGTATCACCCTGAAGGGGTGGCTCTCACAGACGTTAAAGACCAAGAAAATATTCATTCCTTCCTTTGGTCACAAGTGTTTGGTGAGCACTGACTAAGTTCCTGGCACTGTGGTGGGTGGGGCTGCCATCTAAGTTCTGCAGGTTATGTCCTGCACGAGGCACCCAGACTGTGTGCCCAGAGTAAAGGGTAACTTTTTCTAGTTTGCATAAAAGCTCTGCGTGGATGAGCAGCTGGGGAGATCAAGAAGACAACCCAGATATAGCCATGCTTTCAGAGAGCTTAGGGGGTGTGGAAGAGACAGGGAGAGGGAGCAGGAGGAGGAGGAGACCCCGCAGCCAAGCCCCACCACTACCTCACCATTTCTAGGAGCTCCTGGCTCCACCATGGGGGAAATACAGGGATAGGGTTTTGGACTGGGACAGCCCCAAGCAGGAAGGGGCTCATTTTCAGCTCTCCACTTCTGAGCAGTGGCCTCCTGGGCCCAGCTCTCTGCTGCATCCCAGTTCCTAAGGAATATAGAATTGGCCATCCCCACTGGTCTGGGGGGTTGATACACATCTCTTTTCTCTTGGCTCCCCTGAGGCCCAGGTGCTATTGTTCTAATAGAAGTTTACTGAGAAACCCAGGAACAAGAGCTCAGAAGGGATGTCTGGGAATTCTGCCTCGTCTAAAGGCCCCAAACCCTGGCACAGCCCTATTAGCTTGGCTGGCCTGGAGGGCCAGGCAGATATGCCAAGGTGGTTTTCTTCCCACCTCCCTTTGTTATCCAGTTTGCCCCAAGGTTATTGGGACTGGTGCCCCCCTGTGGGTCAGCAGCTGTCCCCACCACCTCCTTCAGCCACCAAGGCCACTTTAGTCATCCTGGCTTGGTCACTGCTGGTCCAGGCTCCAGGCTGTTGCCCACACAGCACCTGCAGACCAAAGGCAACAGAAGGGAACTGAGCCTTTTCCCCAGTTCTGCTTCCCTGGGTTTCTTGCCAAAGTGTCAGCCCAAGGGTCTGCCCCTTGCACTGGGCAGTAGACATGCTAGTCGAGATCAGAAAATAGGAGGAAGGTCAGACTGTATTATGCAGTGCGAGCAGACGTCACTTGTGTGACCAGTTCCTGCTGTAAGCGTCAGCCATGCCTAGGAGTGGAAAATCTCCAGGCCTGCGCAAATGCCCTAAGAATGAGAGAGGCCCCTTTGTCTGAGCAGTAGAGGGAACCCAGGAGGCTGGACAGCAGGGTGAGGTCTCCCTGTGCCCCTTCTTTCATTCAGCCAGCAAGCAGTGCCAAGGTCAGTGAGGATGAGCCCACCCTGCTGACAGCCTCCAGGCCTCCTCACCCACTTTCCTGCAGCCCTTCTCTATGGCATGGTCCCTCATGCTTGAGTCTCCTCTGGCATCTGTTCCCCACCCTTCACAGTCTTCTGCATGAACCACCCCACCACCTAGGCCCAGCCAGGTGGACAGTACTCCATCCTACTGAGGGGCCCAGCTGGAGAAGGGGGCACCAACAGGGTCCAGCTCCCGACAGGTCCAGATGCTCTGGGTTCCTGTGTCAGACACCCTGGCCCAGGGCAGACTCTGTGAAGGCTGGGAAGGGCAATGCACCCATGGACGTGGTGGGGGGAGGGGCTGGGTTGGGCCAGGTTGGGTGGGCCCCGCTGACCTCTGCCCCCTGTGTCCTTGCAGCACAGAGCCCCACCGCCGCGGACCCCCTGCAGCAGGCCTACGCCGGAGTGCAGCAGTATGCAGGTCGTTAGTATCCACAAGTCTCGCGTGGCTCTTCCCCGGCCATGTCCATCTCCCCACGCCCGTGGCACCCGTGCCTCCTCCCACCCCCAGGCCTGGGCCCAGCACTGCAAGGGGAGGGCAGAGGGAAGGAGGGAATGATGGGGAGCTGTGGTGGGAAGGAGGGACTTACTGGCAGAGACCCTCTCTGCAGGGCCCCTCGCCTTTGAGTCATGTTTATCCAACGTGGCAGGGTGCCCTCGCAGTGGTGGGGGGTCAGGACTTCAGCTGCATGGTCTTGCTGTGCAGTCACTTGTCTTTGCAGCCATATTTCCCGTCTCTACGGTGCCCTGTGGTTCGCCCAGGAGCACCAAGTGGCACAGCAGCATTGGGGGTGAGGGGGGACCTGGGACACTGCCCATTGCGGCCCACAGTCACTGCTCCAGGAATTGTAGACCCCAGGTTTGAGGGAAGGAGAGACCCTGGAAGGGAAGCCATCCCATCCTGAGCCATACACAGGCAGCAGGAGTGGGGCACGAGCAAGGATGACAGGGATGAGGAAGAGGTGGAGGACAGCAGCCAGAGGTAGAAAAAGTAAGAGGTGAGAAGAGCAGTCCTGGGTGAGCAGGTGGCCTTGGTCACTGACTGAAAGGTGACAAGCCACTGCGGTGAGCCCAAGACAGGCTTTCAACCAGCTCACAGCTGGGCTGGGCAACACACCATAATATCCACCCAGCTAGTGCCCTGCTGTGTGACCAGGTCAGGTCCCTCCTCGCTGTGCTTAGAAGGGCCAGCAGTGTCACTCTGAGGGCCAGAGGGCTGCCTGTCAACATGGGGTCTTGGGATGGAAGCTGGCTCTCAGCTTCCCAGCCCCCCTATCTCTGACCTCAGGCCCTGCCCCTTTGGGAACCACGTCAGGCTAGGGGGGGAGCTGGCCATTCATGTCCCACCTCTGACCCTTCCCAGTTGAATACAGACATCAGGTTTGTTCAACTCAGTCCTCTGCTCCTGGGACCACCCACTGCAGGCCCCCCATAAGCCAAGCTCACCCCCTGGGTGGCTTCCATCTCCCATGCCAGGCACAATCCAAGTCAGCATGGGCCAGGTGACAACCATCTTGGAGTGATCTTGCCCAGAGCACTTTGATGATTTTGATTATCTGTCATTGTGGATTATACATCTGTGGTTGGACTGTCCCTTGTTTCAGATTAAACTTGCCTCACTTCTCCACACATACACACACATGCATACACATGCGTGCACACATGTGCATGCACTCACACATGTATGCACACGCTTAGTCTTCACTCTGTTGCTTCTCCTTTATTAGTATAGTAAACTGAAAGGCTGGCTTTATCTGAAGTGGCTGTGCTGAAATGCACTTTTGTCTGATCTCCTTTCACTGCCCAGCACTGAAACTTCTCTCTTTCTTCCTGCCTCCACCCTGTCTCTCTCTCCGCGTCACTGTCACCGTCTCTCGCTCTTGCCTCTTATCTTTGGCCCTCCAGCAGCCGCCTACCCTGCTGCCTATGGTCAGATAAGCCAGGCCTTTCCTCAGCCACCTCCAATGATCCCGCAGCAGCAAAGAGAAGGTGAGTCTGCAAGCTGGGGCTCCTGGCCCTCCCCACCCCCTTCTCCCTAAGAGGCTGCTCACCTGGCCTTAGGCTCGGGCACTTCGGTTGAAGGGTGACCACGTTGTGTATTGTATCTAGGAGGGCTGTGAGATGCGGCGTGCTCTCTGGCCCAGCACAGAGGTGCTCTTGTGAGTGGCTCCACTAACCAGAGCAATGGCCAGCCCAAGGGCGGGGCCTGGACGGAGGGCCCTCAGGGCCACACGGTCACACACGGCCCCTCCCCACTCCCCTCCACCATCTGCCACTGACCATGACACAGAGCACAGATACCGATCTCTCAGTTGGGTGTGTTCCTCCCTGAGCAATGCCTTCAACCAGTCCTTCACAGAACCTAGCAGGTTAGGTGTGCGTTTGCCAGTGGAGGCCCTGTCCCTGCCCAAGGGAGTGCCTGTGGAAAAGAGTGGCCCATCCTTGGGTGTCTTACTCGAAGCTCCCTCTACTTTGTGCCCAGAGAGCTGACAGCATAGCTGGGAGAGAGACCAGTCTCCAAGAATGTGGTGGATTTCATGGTACCAGCTCTGATGGCTGTGGGCTTTGAGAAGGGAATGGTGTACAGACTGAGGTGGTCAGGAGGTGGGACCCTGGGGGAGATGAGGTCCAAGAATGCCCCTTCCCCATATGGGCAGGACTTGGCCAGTGGAGAGAAAGGGGAGAGGCAGGAATGCTCATGGCTGGGGCAGAGGGTAGGAGTGCTAGTCCATCCTGACAGGAGAAGCTGCCCCCTTTGGGTGACCAGGAGGCTGCTGGAGCTCCCAGGGCAGGACTCCATGGGCAGGTAGAGGTAAGGGCATGGGACTGCCCCAGGGCAGGCCCCACTGGAAAAAGGGGTTCCTGGAAAGTCCCTGGTGTGGACAGGTCAGGCAGACCAGTGGGTCTCAGGGTGGCAGGGACATCATAGAGACCCTGACACTCAGTGTTCCCCCACCCCAGAGCCTAGAGACCCACGTGAGCAGGACGGCAGGAGGCTGGATATGCAAGCCACCCTCAGGGTTCAGCAAACCTGCCCACAGAGAGCTCAGTGCGAGAGGGCAGGAACACTCAAGGTTCCTGCTCCCTCCACCCCCATGAGAAGGGTCTCCCTGGCAGCGAGACCACTGCATCTCTTCCTACAGCCCACATGGCTAGGGAGGTACAGTGGCTCCAAATGCCAGGCTCACAGCCCCTGTAGCAGACTGTCCTGGAGCCATAGGCTGTAGGTTAGTCCCGGAAAGGACCTTGGGGGCATGCTGGTCTACCTCTTTGACCAGACAGGCTGCATGCAGTTCACAGAGCTTGGAGGGCTGAGAACCTGGGCTTTGAAGCCAACCCATCTGAGCCTGATTCCAGCTCTGCCACCTCCTCCCCATGTGACCCTGGACAAGTCACCCCATCCCTCTCAGCCTTAGAGCCCTCATCTGTAAAATGAGGATAATGATGATGGTTCCCTAGAGGGGTGCGAGGATTACACGACCCAAGTCTGCTGTCCAAATTCCATTCAGGAATCCTCTGTGGCTTTCTCTCTGTGTGTGCAGCCCTTCCTTCATCAAACTGTCACCCCCTCCAGAGTGGCACATGAGGCACAGCCCCCCAGTTTGCATGCATTCAGCAGCTCCTGAGACCTGTACCACCAGATCATCCGAGGCCCAGCAGAGCTGAGCTACAGGAACCCACAAGGGTGAACAGTAGGGCCCACTGACCCTGCTTCACCAGAGCGATCCTCACTGGGCTGTGGCCCTGGACTTGCCCTGCCCTGCCCTCCTCCACTGCCCAAGACTTCCAGCCCACATCAGTCAGATCAGAGCCTCAGAGAGCTGTGACCACATGCCCTACTACTATTGTCCCCCACTGGCTTCTAGCTGACCCACCCTCATCCTGTAGTCAGCTCCCTGCATCACTCTGGCCTGTGGTTCCGGGGTCTCTAAACCCCCTACACAGACACACACACACACAGACACACAGACACACAGACACACACACACACAGACACACACACACACACACACACACACACACAGCTGCAGGCCAATGCTGCCCTGACCGACATGGACAACAGCCCCTACTTACTGCTGGCTACGTTGCATCTGCACTGCCCCCGTGCAGCTGGCTCTGAATTCCTTTTCACACCTTCTCTCCTGCATCTCCTTCCTAGACCAGACCGTGTGTCCCCCACTCAGCCTCTCCTTGGGGAGCTCTCCCACTGTTGTCCCCATTCCCTCGATGGAATGAGCCACCCCAGGGGAGGGTAGGACATGAACCCAGACACCTAAGAACCACACTGTATTCAAGGGTCAGGTTGTCATACTAGGGTCTTTGGGGAAGGCTTTGGTGGGACTTGGAGGATAAGGAGGTCTCCAGCACATGGAGGTGGGGAGACAGGCATTCCAGGTAGGGAGAACAGCAAGAGCAAAGGCATGGCCGCTGTAAAGCATGAGGTGAAACTGTTGGAGGGAGTCAGGCTGAAAGATGGGATGGAGCCAGCCCGAGTCAAGTTCAGGCCACGTGTAGCAGTGTTGTGGGAGGCAGAGAGGAGAAAGAAGGCTGGATTCCTCCAGCTCTGCCAACAGTCTGTGTCTGCATTATGGTCATCCCCCACCCCATGTAACGCCAGTGAAATACAAGGCTACGCTGGTTGCTGGGGAGGACTTTCCTAGCCATAACCCCTCCAAGGCTGTCTGTTCCTTAGGTTACCTCAGGGATGGCTCAAGTCTTGGCTCTGCCAGGGCTGCAGTGTGGTCTGGGACTAGTCACTTTCTGTCTCTGAAGCTCCGTTTCACAATTTCTCAGAAAGCTGAGCTGGACCAGATGATCTCTAAAGTCCTGCCAGTTACACCATCTGTGTGTTCTAGAATCTGTGAATGAGGGAATGCAGTAAGGGCCTGGGGGCAGCTGGAGGAAGATGAGGTATAGGCTCACTGGTGAGGGATGAGGGGCTGGAGGAGGGAGAACAGACAGCATCCACATAAAGCAGCTTGCAGAACTTGAACTTGGAGCGAGGCCCTGAGTTCAAGGCAGCTGTCAGCCTGGCATGGAGCAGTCAGGGAGCCCTAAAGAGTGGGGGTGGGGGAGACAGGAAAAGGCAAATGCCCCTGCCCCTGGGGAGCGAGCGCCATTCTGGGTAGAGAGAAAAACCTTCCAGACATAAAGGAAAAAGAGCCCCAAGGCACAGAATATGGAGGGCAGACTCAGGGAGCACCAGAAGGGAGAGGCCAGAGGTGCTTTCAGGGAGGGGGTGGGAAGAGTATCTGGTGGGCCTCCTGGAGAAGGTGCAACTTCACTTGGGCCTCAAAGCTGGTTCCTGCCCTGAGGGGACTCCCATCTAGCTTACACCATCAAGGGGCACGTTGACAGGGCATGTAGCCAGTGAGGACATGGCAAGGATAGAGGGGAGAGGAGGGTCACCAGAGCATGGGGGTGCAGCCCTGGGCACTCCTAGAAGCGGGTGTGGGAGCACACTTGCACTGTCAGCTGGCAGAGTGCCTGGGAGACAGCTGTTCAGGGAGGGGGCGGCACATCTGTAGGGGTGGGCAGATGGCGCAGGGTGAGATCAAGGGAGGAGGTCAGCGGCACAGAAGGAGGCTTTGGTGGTCAGAGGAGTCTTCGCTGTAGGCTCTGAGCCTCAAGGGGTGGAGACAGATGGAGGGAGGAAGAAGTGTGGGACAGCTAGGAAAGGAGAAGGCACAGAGAGTGAGCGCTTTCTCCAGAACTGGGTTACCCAGCAGCCTCACTGGTCCAGGAGAACCAAGACAGCTGGTTCTGGCTATGAAAGCCACATAGCAGCCCATGTAGGTACCTTCCAGACTTCACTTTCAAGCCCATGCTTAGGTTTCCACCAGCCTCTGCTTAGAAGCTCGGCTCGCTTACACTACTCTGAACAGTGCAGTGCATTCATGCCCACATCCGCCACAGACTGGAAGCTATCACTGGGATGACCACAGGTTGCTTTAAAGGGTTACATTATATGTGGCATACTCCATTTAAGATGGCAAGAAATAGGCAGTGCGACTTGGAAAGATTTCTGGAATATTCTGATGATTGAAAAAGAAAATATAAATCTTTAGCTATCTGGAAATTTCAGAAGTCCAAAGACCTTAAGTGCTCAGGGGAGCTGACAGTTATGATGGATAGGTAGAGATAGAAGAGAACACAGGAAGATTATGGAGAAAGACGGCCTGGGTTCGTATTCTGGCTCCATCTCTACCAGCTGTGTGACTTTGGGCAGGTGACTTAACCTCTCTGGGCCTCAGTTTCCTCATCTGAAGTGGGGATGACAATAGTACTTACCTCACAGGGTTGCTGTAAGGAGTAAGTGACTTAATGTACATATAAAGTGCTTAGCATACCCTGACACAAAGTTCATGCAATTGAAGTGGCAGGGCTGTTGTAACGAAATGAGTGAACCTTTCATGTAATGAGGCTCACAGGTACCCTAGCTAATTCCTGAGCCTCAGTATGAAGTCATCCCTGCACACCTAGCCCGCATGATAAATTTCGATCTGGGTCCTCAAGACAAGGGCTGGGTTGAGGTAGGGGGCAGGGGATGGGGACTGTGGGGGGCAGACTGGAAGGAGTGGCCGAGGTGCCACCCCTTGGGGATTCCAGACCCCAGAGTCCAAGCTGGGGCCTTTGGGACGCTGAAGTGATCCTCACCTCCTGCCGGGCCCAGGACATGGCTGCCTGGGCGATGCTCTCTGCCCTCTGCCCTCCCCCGCCAGAGCAGGGGCCAGGCAGGAGGGAGGCTCGGCTTTCCCAGATCAGCCTGTCCCTCTCCCCAGCACCATCTCCAAGAACACGGCTGATCACACCTTGGCACGACCTCCTCGCGTTAGCTCTGCCCCTGGAGCTCCAGAGTTGCCAGACCCCCCTATTACCAGACCCATTTTGCAGAACAGGCAACTGAGGAACAGAGAGGTTCAGTGACTTGCCCAAGGGCAGAGCAGAGACCAGAGCTCAGAACTGGGGCTCAGAACCCCCACTCTTCCTGGGCCACCCTCAAATCTTGGATGAGACCCCCCCTCCTAACCTTGCTCCTACCCCTCCCTGCTGCCGCTGCCTAACTCGCTCACCTCTCCTCTGTCTCTCTCTTCCCCCACCCTGCCATCCCCTCCTCCCCCGCCCCATCCCCTCCCCCCACCGCAGGGCCCGAGGGCTGTAACCTGTTCATCTACCATCTGCCCCAGGAGTTTGGGGACGCTGAGCTGATGCAGATGTTCCTCCCTTTCGGTAATGTCATCTCCTCGAAAGTGTTTGTGGATCGGGCGACTAACCAAAGTAAATGCTTTGGTGGGTAAAGATAACAAATCAATTAGCTTCACCTAGGACAGGGCGGTGCTCGCACCAATTTACTGGTGTCCAACTGCTTTTAACCTGCTCCTTCACATCGCCCCCCTCCCCAGGTGCTCCCCCTAGCCCAGCCTCTACCCCCATCTCTCACATCCTCTTCTCTCTTCTACTGTTCTTTGCTTCTTGGCTTTCCCTGCCACCCCTGCCCTGCTCCTCATCATGCAGGTCCCAGTCCAAGCCCAAAGGCCCAATGCAAAGGGAAAGGGGGACACCTTGGGCAAGCTGGGGAGGGGGCAGTTAGCAGAGCCCCAGCAGTATCCATTCTCCCAGCAGCCCTTTCCAGCCGTGATCAGAGTGGCCGACCTGAGCCCTGCTCAGTGTAATCCTTGGGGTGGGAGAGTCAGCCCACCGAGCCCCCACCCTGCTTGCCCCCAGCCTCCTCTGTCCACCTCTCTTTCCTGCCCATGTCCCCATTCTCTGTCTCCCCCGCTCTTTGCTCCCCTCTGTCATCCAATGAACCCTCCTTCCCACTCACCCCAAGGCCACCAGAGCTGGGCATTGTTGAGGAGTCAGGAAGGAGACTGGTCCCTGCCCTCAGGAAGCCAAGGTCTGAGCTTAGCTGAAAATCACATATATGCACCAGTAATGAAATCCACAAGGCACCAAGTAGTGATGTCATAAGAAAGGTGGATGGACGTGAACAGACGTCAGGGAGGTGGAGGGAGTTCCAGGCAGGGAGAACAGAATGGACTGAGGCTTGGGGATGGGGTAAGAAGAGTTGAAGCACAGGAGGCAGGGGGCTAGGGGAGAGAGTTCAGGAGACACTAGTTGTGATGGAGGGTCTGAGCTGGGGAGGGTGTTGACCATTCAGATAAGGAGGTTTCATTTTGTGCAGCAGGCTGTGGAAGGTGGTGGTGGTGGGGTTTGAATTGAGAGTAATAAACAGCTTCCATGAAATTCGCCTGGTGGCAGGATGAATTAGATGGGAGAGGGAGGACTTGGGAGGGTCCAGGAGTATGGCTGCCAGATAAAATAGTGGATGCCCAGTTAAACTTGAATTTCAGATAAACCAGGAATACATTTTTTGTATAAGTTTGTCCCAAATATTGCATGCAGTATATCCCATGCAATATTTGGGATATATTTATACCAAAAATGCATTCATTGTTTATCTAATATTTGAATTTAACTGGGTGTCCTGTGTTTTCATTTGCTAACTCTGGCAACCCTAACCAGGAAGCTTCAGACCTCCTCCTGGAATTCCGCCTCATCCCCACACTTTTCCCCTCCATTCCTCTCTGGTGCCTCTCCCACCTCCTCCTCCACCTCCCTCAGTCGTCCCTTCTGAGACCAGATCCACTCCTGCATTACTGAGGCTGGAAGAGCCTGGCCCCAGTGCATTAGTTTCCCAGAGAGCCGTGCATGGTAACAGCCGAACATTCAGGAGCTCAGTTATCTCCAGTATGACCCTCAGATTCTGGGGCTGTGCGGAGAGAGCAGGAGCCCGCGTCAGCCGGGAGCCAGATTATACAGAAGGTATTAAAGTGTATCAGGAAACACATGTTAAGGGGATTCCAGTTTGGAAACCAACTCTCCAGAAACATGAAGGGCTTGAGGGTTCAGAGCATGAGCCCCAAAGTAGTCAAGATCCTTCTACCCTTGTCCTTTCCCCTCTGGCAGATGGCACAGGAAACTTGTAGTACTTCAATGGCACAGAGTTACCCCAGTAGCCCCTTTGTCTTTGGGTTTGGAAAAACAAAGCAAATAGCAGAGTTATACCTCTCCACTGTTGGATATCTCTCCTTACAAATTACAATTATGTATGTAAAAACAAACTGGAAATCAGTTGCATATGGTCTTTAAGTAAGCCTCAAATGCTATGTGAATCAGAAGAAGCCTGCTGAAAGCCCAGAGAGGGAGCTAAAGTTCCAACCGTAGCCTCCTCCCCGCATCCTCAGCCTTGGGGGCTGGCGCTGTTCCTGGTGGAGTTGCAGCCCAGTTTATCAAAAGCATTTCCTTATAGTCTGCCCCAAGCATTGCCCTTGCCATTCCAAACCCAACCAAACCCACTACCCACTCATAGTGACCCTATAGCAACCCTATGCGACAGAGTAGAACTGCCCTGTAGGGTTTCCAAGGCTGTAAATCTTTTACGGAAGCAGACTGCCACATCTTTCTTCTGAGGAGCAGCTGGTGAGTTCAAACTGCCAAACTTTTGGTTAGCAGCTGAGTGCTTTAATCATTGCATCACCATGTACATTCTCCAGGACCAAGTTTTTTCCTGCTTTTAAAAAGAAATTCTCTATATACCTCTACTTGAGCTCTCTCCTCTCTTCTCGAACACACTTCTAGCGCTAAACATTTGCCAACCTTGGCATTGGAAAGCTCCCCCAGTACTGGTCCAGCCCAACCATTCCTCCTTAAACGACTGGGTCCTCTCCCTCACTCTGGCTGCCGAGCCCTCTGCAGCTGTCTAGGAGGCAGGTCATTTAACTCTCTGAGTCTCAATTTCTTCGTTAATGAAATGGGGACTTTCACAGTCATTCATCAGGGATGCCATGAGGGTTACATTAGATGGTGTATGTGAGGGGCTTGGCCTCAGAAAGTGCTATTGGACCCTCAGGAAGTGCTATCGTCCCCTTTGCACCCAAAACGAGGCACCATTTTTGCCATAAAAGTGGTCCTATGTTAAGTGAGCCCCTCAAAGCTCCCGCTTGCTGTTTATAAGCATAAACAGAATCCTTCAGAGGTTCTTTGTGAGTGTATGGGCAACTTAAACGTTTCCTGCGTTGGTATGGGAGGCTGGAACTTCCTCAACATGAACAGCGGCAGAGGTGGGGGGCTCTGGGAGAAGGAAGATAGTCCTGGAAACTGGAAACATGGGAGATGGGAGGTGGGGGTGAGGGGGTGACGAGGTGACAGTCTTTGGGGGATGACCGTGTCCCTGCCCTGACTGCTAGCCAGTTAACAACTAGCTGAGAAAAGAAAGTTCCCTTGGGCCTCCAAACTCCTCTGCAAACGCTGGGCCTCGCAGCAACTTTTTGCTTCTCCAGGTCCTCCCCCCCGCCCCACTCTCCCCAAACGATGGTTCTCCCTCTCTTTTTACTTCCTCCCCAGACAGTGCCACCAGCCCTTCTTATCTTTTTCCCATCTCCCAGCTTTGCTCACCTTGTTTCCTGCAAAAAGAGTCACCAAGCCCAGGTGGTGAGGTAAATTTGGAGCCGCGGTGCCGGCGGGCCAGAGGAAGAGGTGGGGTGCTGCATGTCGCCCACAGCCAAGCTACCTGGTCCTGGGCAGGTGTAAACGCACAATTCATACATCTGAAAAATGCTCTGGGCTGCTAAGGACTTGACTTTAGTCAACAGACATACAGGTCAGAGGGACCAGAATGGGATGAGAAGGAGGAGGTGGAAGGATGACTGGAGACTCATCTTCAACTATGGATAATTCTAAATCTTTGCTATTCATTTTGAAGTATAGATTTACAAAGATTGGTTATGTTGCCCTGGACCGGACTCTGGCCAGTTTCACCGCAGGCAACTGCGTGCACGCATGCGTACATACCCGCGCATGTACCCTCGCGCCCCCCACCCCTTCCCTTTTATGGCACGTGGCTGCGTGAGAGCAAAGCAGAGAAAAGACGATAGAAAGAGAAAAGCTGGATGGAGGCTGTGTCTGGGAGGAAGTAAAAAGGGAGAAAGAGCCACCTAGCGGGGAGAAGGAGGGAAAGGGTCTCGAGAGAGTGGAGAGGTCGCAGGCAGGCCCAACGTACCGTGGACAATTATCCAAGAAAACAGCCTCCACTTCATATGGGGTCTGGCTGTTCCGCTATCCCTTATATGTCTAATTGCCACCTGGGTACAGACACCCCAACTGAGGCACGTTTGCAGGTTGGCCTAGGAACCTAACCGAGCTTAATTTCATACATTTTGCAGGAATATAAATCCATTTTACAGGGGTAAAGACCTCTTAAACACATTCAAAGAAATACTAGGTTAAACAAAGCTATAAAAGTTTACTTACTGGAGAACTTGGGGCAGGAGGAGGGTGTTTCTATTTGCTAGGGCCTGGCTGTAAACTTGCCCATAGAAATCCCTTTCTCAAGGAGCACCTATATGGGCCTAGTTTGGGAAATGCTGATGTAGTGTCTCTATATAGCAGATGCACTCTAAGTTCCAAAAAGCTGACTTCAAAACTAACTTTCACGACATGACCCATCGCCATGTGGGAGCTGCTTGATTTAGAAGGTGACTGGGAGTCACATATGGTTCTATATCCCCGCGTGGGGCTTTTGGGAGGAGTGAATTGTGAGAAGCACTTCTGCTGTCCCTGGTACACAGAAGGCTCTCAGCTCATTTTTACTAATAGCACTAATTTTTACTACTATTGTCATAGCTGTCTGGAGGGGCTCACAGGAGACACATCAGTTGGTGCTTGGTTAGTCCAGGGCTTGGGAGTTGCCGACATTCCCTGGGTGCGAGGTGGAGGGTTAATGCGAGTTGAGTCTGTCTGGATGTCCCGGTGTCCAGCCAGGAGTCAGGCTGGGGGCAGCCTTGGCCAGAGGACCGGGAGCTGGGGCGGAAGGTGGCGAGGACTCTGGCCTTGACCCTCCCCCACGGCCAGGCCACACTCGCGAGGGGGGTGGCCAGAAACGCCGGTGGAGACGTTCTCCGTGGTGCCTCCCCTCCGTCCCCCTCGCACTCCTCTCTCTCCCCAGGCCGGCACCCTGTGCCCTCCCGCTGCCAGGCCCCCTCCTGTCAGGGAGGACAGTGTCCAATAAACTCCTCCACCCGCAGGTGTGTCCGCCCTCTCCTAGCCACAGGAGAGGGCTGAGGTGCCGGGGCCGGCCCGGGCGGGGGGGTGGGCGCCTCTCCAAGACCCGCAACGCCGCGGGCGCTCACCTGGGGGAGTGGGCGCCCTGGCAAGTGGCGCCGGCCAAAGGCGAGGTGTGGCCAGGCAGGTGGGGTCTCCGAAACGCCCCGGGAGGGGTCACACGCACGCGTGGTGAAGGGGGGCGCGGCCACGTGGCCCCGCGGGATGCGGAGGCCGGGCCTGTGCCGGGGGCGGAACCCTGAGGGAGGCGGGGCCTTGAGGCCTCCCCGCCCCCAGGCCGCCGGGTGCCGGGGAGGGGCCGTCGCTTTCCCGGCCCCGCCCTCCAGCCCCACCGACCTCCTTTGCTTTCCCGGCTGGGAGCGGTCCCTGGGTGGCCCTGTGGAAACCCAGGCCCTCGTCCCTCGTGTCTCGCCAGGCTTCGTGAGCTTCGACAACCCGGCCAGCGCGCAGACCGCCATCCAGGCAATGAACGGCTTCCAGATCGGCATGAAGAGGCTGAAGGTGCAGCTGAAGCGGCCCAAAGACGCCAATCGCCCGTACTGAGCGCCGGCGGGAGCGTCCCCCGGGGGAGACCAGGACTCGCACAGGTAACCGGGGGCGGCCGGGGCGCGGGGACGGGGGGGCTTGGGAGGGGACACCGGACGGACCCGCCGCCTCCTCTGGCCTCCGCGGGCCGGACCCTCGCTTGTGCCTTGGACCCGCTGCTCTTGGCTCCACCTGCTCCTGGCTCGGTGCCTACGGGCAGGCGCACAGCTGTGGTCACCCCTGCTGAAATGGGCATGGCCATCCCCCTGCTGCAGGGCGAAGAGGCCTGAGGGTTGGGCTTGAGAGAGAGGGGCAGGAATGAAGGAGCCGTCCTGAGAATATGGGGCGAGCTCTGGACCTGCGCCTCCAAGTCTACACTGGCAGTCCTGTTTGCCAGAAAACCCTGGGGTGAGCAGATGGCGAGCTAGGGCCCAGGAGAGTCTGGGGGCGGAACAGGCTCTGCGGAGGAGAGCAGGAGCCGCCTGCTGGAGCCTTCTCCAGACTCCCTGGCTCTCAGCTCCTCACTTCTGCCAGGAGGGCTGGCAGCTTTTAGGCACTTGTCCCCCGCCCCCCTCCAATTACCCATTGCTTATCCAGGAGAGGAGAGACAGGCTTTCTCACAAGGAACTTTACCGAAAACTAAATAAATGAAAATAGGATGGCCTCAAATTTTTTGGGGTGTCGGGGGAAGAGCCTTACCCTGCCTACTTCATGTGGGTCATGGTGGATGGGTAGTGGTCACCTTTTCCTTCTCAGTCGATGTCTTGCCTAGAACTGGAGACACGATTATTCTTCCAGGATATGTTGTCTCCTGGGGGGCAGGGGAACAGGTCATCACAAGCCCACCTTTAGCCTCCCCCCACCCCCTGGCCCCTTCTAGTGCTCAACGTACTGACAGACCAGAGATGCAGGCACCCTTTGGGCCCTTCCAGCTCAGACTGTCCACCCCTCTGTCCCTCCACTCACCCAGCCCGTCTTAGCCTCCTAGGCCTTGATGCAGCTAAAACCCAATCAAGGTTAGAACCTTTAGGTCAAAGAAATTCCCAGATGAAGGGGTAAGGAAGGCAGGTTTGTCATTTGGGACATCAAGTAAGAAGTGGCCCACGGGGTAGAACCAGCTGTCAGTCAGAGTTCGAGTGGGGATTTGGGGGAGTAGTTTAAAAAGCAAGGTAGGTTCTTCCACTGAAAGGGTGAGAACTACAGACCTTCACATAGTGCTTGCATTGCATCAAGCACTGTTCTTGTAGATAACAACCTCCAAGGTAGGATGTGTCTTTATTCCTATTTAACAGATGGAGCACAGAGAGATTAAGTATCTTGCCGATCAGATAGTAAGGGGTAGAACCTGGATTTGAAGCCAAGAGGTCTAGTTCCAGAGGCCATGTTCTTAACCCCTTCAAGTTAAGGAGAATGCTAGACCCCAGCTCCATGCTCACCCTCACTCATACCACACCAGTGCCCTGAATGTCAGAGGGGCCATGTCATGGCATCTCACTTCTTTGGGGTCCCCTATCTACTAAGCAGTATTATAAAAAACTGTAGTATGACAGAACTCTGACAATAAAGTTGACTTTTAATTTCCCAAGGCCTCTTCATCTGAACAGAATTTTAACAAATGGTGGTTTCAGGCTTCCTAACTCAAGACTATTAGAAGCTGTAATAGAAGGAGGGTCCTAAAAAGAGATAAGGGGGCTTCTCAAGGCAGGCTTGGGGACTGCAGTGAGAGGTGACCACTGTTAGGCTGCCAGCAAGGGGGAAACAGCACTCAAAGCACAGAAAGTGTCTTTACAAAGCATGAGGACTGAGCCACAGTCATAGGTGCTCAGAAGGACAGAGCTTTAGAGATTGCTTGTGGCGGGCTCTGAGCAGTGACTGAGGGTACAGCTGCAGCCTGGAGCTGAGAGGTGCTGGGAGCAGGGAGGTGACAGGGAAAATGGTTTCCTGTCTTCCCCTCAGCCCCACCCCTTTGGCTGCTTGGGCTCAGTGTCTTAGGCTATAGACTAAAACAGGAGTTTCTCCAAGAAAGCTTTACCAGGAAACTGAGAGGAAGGAAACAAAGGCAGGAAGAGTGGGCAAAAACGGGAATATGGCCAGGTTCACAGGGCATGGTGTCCTTGTCACGGTGTGAAAGCAGAACACCCCATCTGCCCCTGCCCAGCTTAGAGGTTGGCCTCCAAGTCCGCTGTTGAACCCCTGAGTGTGCTGTAGCACCCTGGGCCCCAAGTCAAGGGACGGGTTCTCAGGCTGCTAGCACTTTGGCTGGAGGACACACTGCGAGGCTTGTACAAGCCCCGCAGAGTCCTGTCTCTCCTGGGCCCCAGGCTTGGGCTTTGATCGGGCCTTTGCTCAGTGTCTGGCCTGGGCTCTGCAGGCACAGGTGCTCTGGGCCTGGCCCATGCAGGCTGTGGCTTTAGTTCTGGGCGCTTTCTGGCGGGAGCCAGCTTTTTTCACGACCTCAAATCTGCATTGGTTCTGCCTGGCCGTAATTAGGTCAGTGCGTTGGAGCTTCCCAGACCTGATTAGAGCTTCCCCTCGCTGGTCAGTGATCTCGCAGCCAGATCTGGGGCTGAACTCTGAGGCTCCACCAGAGGGTGGCTGGGAGGGGTGACCTAGCAGGCCGAGGCGCAGCTGCTCCCTATTCAAGATAGGAGCCAGCTGGGCTCATGCAGAGTCCTGGGGGAGGCTCCTTAGGGGCTGAATGATTCTGAGCATGTGTTTGTGCATTTGAGGCTGAGTTTGTGTGAGAGAGGAGGCTGTGTAAACTGTACGTGTAACAGTATGAGTGAGAAAGTCCCCTAGATTGAGCTTGGAGGGGAGGGCTGTGTGCTGTTCAGGTTTGGGGCCTGGACACTGAAGAGCAGCAGGACGAAAGCTGGGAGAGAGACAAGGAGCACAACATGGGGTGGGGGTGCCATGGTGCGGGGGGAGATGCCTGTGAGACACTCGGGGAAAGAGGGGAGTTCCCCATAGTTTCCTTAGTTGCAGTGGCCATAGCTGACACCTAATGCCTCTACACTCCTCACTTCCTGAGGCCTCTTCTCCCACTCCAGAGGGAGACCTGCCAGTCAGCCATCCTGGGTGGGTCTAAGGGCTTTTGGGAGGGGCTGGAGGTACAGGGATGGCATTTCAGGATTGGAGGGTATGTGGTGGGCCCTGGTCTGGGTGAGGGAAATCTGATGTTGGAAGAACAAAGAACTCGGCCTGGCTGGGCAGGCAGAGCAGGGGTCTGTGGAGGAAGGGGGCTGAGGAATGCTTCTGGGACGGTTGAGGTTGGGTTTGGGCCCAGCCACTTCATCAATTCCCCACAGTGATACGTTAAGATTCTAGGCCTCCCTTCTGCCCCTCTGGAGAAGAGCACAAAGCCTAGTGTGGAAGTGTGCTGCACAGTGTAGAAGCCCAGTGGACTGGAAACCCTGCCAACAAACCTGCTGCATGGGCTTTGGCACCCGCCCGAATGCTGTGGGTGGTTAGTGGGTGGAGAACAAGCTCATAGCGAGCCATGAAGAGGGGCTCAGGGTGGGGGCCCCAAATCCCAGGGTCGGGGCAAAGGACCCTGAAATGGTGAGGGGTGGAAAAACAAAGTCAAATGTGATGATCCTTGATAGATGAAGGGAACTCAGGCTCACCCACCTAGGGCACCACCAGTAAAGAAAGCAGGCCAGGGCCTGTGAGAGGGGCCTGGAGGGGTGCAGGGTAGAAAGGGATGGAGCAGAGGGGGCAGGGCAGGTCAGCAGAGCCATGGTGACAGCAGCAGCGACAAGATCCAGGGCCACAGCCCTCACCTCTCCCATCCACTACCTCTTGTTTTGTGTATTACCCACTTTGCAGGGGACACTGCAGCCTTCCATGTGGGCCTTTTATGGGTCAGAGCTGTAGAGCCTTCTAGGTGCTTCACCTGCTGGGAAGCAGCCTCAGTTTGGCCACATGGGCCACCCTGGGAGCAAAGCTAAGGATGTGAAGTGATTGTGAAATGAAATCCCTAGTGCCAAGGTGTGTTTATAGAATTCCAAAGATATTTATATAACTTACTTTAAATTTGAAAATTGAACATATTGACTTTCTGAAGATTCTGAGGCAGAGTGGAAGGGGAGAGGATCAGAAGTCACAGTGGGTGCTCTTGCATTGAGGCACCCTGCTCTAGGGATGGCGGCCAAGGTGGGGATCCATAGGGTGGAAGGAACGAGCTGCTGTCGGTGTGGACTGTCCTGTGGCAGCAGAGTGTTTCATGGGTGGATCCTACCGATGTGCCAGATCACCTAAGCCAGCCTCTGACCTACCCAGCGAGTCAGGGCCACCCTGACAGGCCCTCCCTCCTGGTCACAGGCCGAAGCCACAGGAAGCTGGGGAGGTGAGAGGTCTGCACCTGGGGGAGAGGGAAAGAATCAAGGGTGATAAAAACCAGAGAGCTTGCTCCCTGAGATCTGCTTGCCAGCCAAGGTGGTTTGAGGGTCTGTTTGATTTTTTTCTGGCCCCCTCGCCAAACCACCCACGCCCTCCTCCTCTCCCTTACGCATGATGGATGCCCTTAGTGGCCCTGTGTGAGGTTCTGCTACTGTTCACAGCGTATCATGTGTCTGCATAAACAACCGTGCGTGTATGTACGTGTGTGCGTGTGCGTACTGACGTGACCATGTCCTTTGTCTGCCGGCTTCCTCCATCCTTTGAGTTCTTTTCAGTTCTCTTATGATTTGACTGCTGTTCTTTCATCAGAGCTTTTAGATTGATGCTGTGGTCTGGTGCTGTATAAATATTTTTCCTTTTAATTTTGTTTTAACTTCTTCCTTGCCCTTCTTCACCCTCAACCCCTCTCCCTTACCTCCCACGCTCCCCTCCCCCACCCAACCCACCTCTTCCTCCCCCTCTACCCACACTCTTTTGTCCTCTCTTTCTCTCTCTCTCTCTAGACATATATAAATATATATATAAATCTTTTCTTCTTTTGTCATTCAATCAAATTCCAACAACCCAACCAGGGCCAGTCAAATCCACCACAGTCTCGCGCTGAGCTAGGAATAAAGTTCACGTAATCACATGAGAGTGGAGAAAACAGTCCCCCATCCGTAAGTTCAAATCAACTCAAAGTTCACAGTGTGACATGATGGCGTCATGTAACAAGGCTAAGAATCGGTTGCATGACAATTGCCGTCAAGTTTCGTGGAGGTGCTGTGATTGGAGCGTTTTTCTTGGATGTTGTATCAGTTGATGATTGGCCAGTCATGATCACACGTGCATTTCTTGACTTTTGTGCTGCCACAATCTTTTTTGCTGTGCTCATTTTTGTTTCGTTCTTGGTGCTTGCAGTGGTTTTACTTTCTGTTGTTTGGTTTTTCTTGTTCAGCGTTTTTTATGCTTCTCTAGTTGTCACATAGAGAAAAAAACAAAACAAAAGAACAAAAAAAATAGTAAAAGTAAAGATGAATTCCTGAATTATCAAACATGGGATCATTTAACTGTGCAAACCATTATTTTTTTTCTTAAAATAAGGAAAACATCTTAAAAATATCTATGCGTGGTTGATTTACTTGCACTTGAAATATTGTGATTTTATTTTTTTCTAGAAATTTGGGGGCCTTTTTCAATTGACACTTTCCTAGGTCTGGTCTTTTTCCAGTTAGGCTATTTTAAATCTCACTCCAAAAGGAAAAACAAAATCAAAAAACAAAATCTCAACAGTAACAGAATGAGAAAAATTCTAAACCAAAAAACTAGAGTACAAAGCCAGAGGCCTCTGAGAGAGAGCCCGGTAACAATTTTAAGGTTTGTATTGTAGCCACTTCTGCTAAATTAAATGTGGGGAGGGGAGGCGAGGGGTGGAGGTTTTGGGAGGGCTTTTTTGGTTGGTTTGGAAAAAAATAGTACTCACAAAAACCAAATGCACCTTTTTGTTTACAACTGAAAAAGGGTCCTTGACAAGTGTTTTTTAATTTTATTATTATTTTATTTGGTGTTGTAATTGTTTAGACTGCTGTGTACGGTTTGCTGTTTGTTGAATCAACAGTGTGAAAAACCTGCCAGCATGGATTGATATACGCATGACGTTGTCCCCTCAACTGGGGGCTTTGCAGTTCTAACTTTCTTGATGTAACCAGTCACCCCCGTGTATAAGTGGAAGCTGCTTGCTAGAATGGAGATGAGTCTCATCTGTTAATTCAGTGATTAAGCATTCTCCTTCTGATTCTAGTCAGATCATGATTTTTCTTAAAAAAGCAAAATGAAACACCGAAAAGCCACCATTCAAAACAAAACAGAGAACTGTCTGAGTTCATTTTATTTAAGTTGGATAAGTAAATCTGTTCTAACTTTTTTTAGGTTCTCCCGTCCATTCCCTTGAAATTCTGAATTTCGTCTAAATTCCCTGGCATGTATGAGAAAAATATTATGTGCGCGTGCGTGTGTGTATATATATATATGCATATACATACACACATATCCATGTATATCCACATATGTGCAGGTGAATATATTCTACACATATATCCAGATATACATATATATACATAGCCTCGCAAATAGTTACTGACCTCAGGAAAGAAGCGGTTGGTTGGACGCTGGGCAAGGATTCTGCAAAATTCATGCCACGAATCTGTTTTCTTCAAGTGGGGGAGGAGTAGGTTGGGCTGCTAGATTTTTGCTATCTTGTTTGCTAGGCTTCTGTATACATATTGTATCTGGGCTAGGTCCCTCAGAGACAGGTTAATTATAAATTCCTATCCCACAGTCCCAAATTCTTCCCTTAGATATAGCCATCCCCTAATCCAGAACTCTAAAGGAGCCCAAATCCCAACAACTAAACCTCTACCACCATCACCATTAGCCTGCCCACTGGTTTCTTACTCTGAACAGAAGAGTAAATTTCTTTTTTATTTATCATGATCATGACTAATTATCATACTGGTCTCTTTTCCCTCCCTCCCACCATCCCCCAGAGCTCCCATCCTAACCCCCCAAGGCAGGTTCCTTTTGGTGTTTGGATGCGTTTTGTGGTGCCCCTCTTGGCTTAATCAGCCCTGATTTTCTTCGTTTTAGGGCAGGATGCTGAACGGGCTACATTAAAAAACAAACCTCTCTCTATATATATTTATAAATGAGAACTGTTGGATGACACCTTTGACATATCAGCCAATATCAATCAAGCTGAAGACTCCAGACACCCTCTGTGACTGTACCATTTCTTCAAGGGAAGTATAGCATCTATGGAGTTCAGAGGGCACATGTTTGGGGAAAAATGCATATGACATAAAGAAGATGAAGAAAACTGAGGAAAAACAAAACACACACAAAAAAGGCAACTTTTAAAACAAAATAACATGAAACCAGACGGGGAGGCTGAAGGGCTGGGAACTGGGAAGAGACGCTGCTTACTGATCCCCAGGGCTTTTCCAGCCCGTTGGCGCCTTGAGGCAGGCTGGGGCAAACGGTGTGGCGGGGCCTGGTCCCCAGGGTGCGGCTGGGAGGCCGCCACTGAGCATCTCTATCTGTCATTCCTTTAGCTATTTAGGGACCAAAGGACCAAACTTTTTATTGCAGATGTGTAGCTCTATGTGAAGTAGAGGGGGAATGGAGGAGAACCTCCTTCCTGCCTCCTGGCTGTTCTTGAAACAGCTTAGAGCGATTCTATGAAAAATGTAATAAAAAATTAAAAAAAAAAAAAAAACACACAAAAAAGGAAAAACGATGCTTCAATGCTTTTAAAACAGCAAGATACTAGTTCTTTGATACTTTGAGAGCCGCTTTGATTACCCTCATTCAAGTCTATGACACTTTCCTATGGTTTTCTGTATTATGTCTGGATGGAGCTGTTAAGAGGAACAAAATGGTGGATATTTGGGGAAAGCAACAAAAATACGAAAACTCATTAACCGTGAAGTGTGAGAAAACGAGGGGAAAAAAGGGACTTCCAAGGCAAGATAATTGTTGTGAAAAGTCTGTAAATGCTTCTCTTTCCCCCTCTTAAACTCCTAATAGTTGTACAGAATTTTAAAAAGGAAAAAAGTTTAAAATACCTATATAATAGAAGAAAATTAGAGGACAGCAAAAAAATAAAAAAGGAAAAAAAAAAAACCTATAGAAGTTAGCGTTACTGCTAAAAATCCCAGATGTTGTAGGACTGTACTTTTGTAGAGTTTAGACTGAGCATCAATCCCTTCTCCCCGCGAGTGCTGTCGGACGCAGTTGTCTCCGAGGCCAGGCCGGACTCGCCGCAGAGCTGCGGGCTCCTGGCCGCCCATCACCGGTGGAGGCCGTGCCATCGGCAGGGAAGGGCTGCCGCCTGAAGGGGCCGCGACGCCGCCGCCTCGCCGCCGCCCTCGCCCCTCGCTTCGCTCCGGGAGCTGCGCGTGCTCCCTGGCTCTTCGCAAGCCCTTGACACCTTCCGCTTCACTCGCCTTCCATGCTTGCTCCAGAGACTTTCCGGGCAAGGGAGAACTGGGAACTTTCATCTCAAAACAACACACACACACACAAAAACCTTAAAAGAGAGAGAGAGAGAGAAATAACAATCTTTGAAGAATTTCTGAAACTGTTTACAAGGAATTTTGAAAAACAGGGATGTTTAAATGATGCCGGCTCTGTTTTTCTGTAAATAAATTTGCATATTTTGTAGGACTTTTAATTGTAATGATAGAGAAAAAAACAAGGAAAACTATTTAATGAAAGCACGATATTTATCTTTGGTAAATGACTTTAGAGCAGTTAAAAAAAGACATTGCTTAAAAAAAACTCAGAATCAAAAAACACTGAATTATTTAAGAACACATATATTTTAAAGTATAACATATTTATTATAATTTATTTGCACCCTTGGGAAGACTTGCTTTGGCACTCCGCCTTGATGCCGGCTCACTGACGTCCAGGTCACCTGGAGGCCAAGGGGCTCTGGGACTGACGATTTTTTTTCCTTTTTTGCTTTAGAAGAACAAATCTGCAGTTCCTCTCAGGCCTCCTGCCTTTCCTTTCTTTCCATCTATTTTGTTGGTTTATCATTATTTTTTAAATTTTCTTTCTTTTTTTTTTTTCCTCTTGACTCCTCCTTTTAGGATGTCCAGATGTTGTAAAAACAGCTGCAGTTCAGTACAACTGCTCTTTTCACACTTAACTCCCCAAAACTCCTTGTAACCTTCTGTAACTATTGGATGACGCTTTCTCCAGCTTAGCCCTAAATAAAGCACAGTTTAAAAAAAAAAAGTCTCTTCTTCAGTCGTCTGTGCCGCTCGGGCTGTGGCCAGCCGGTCCTCCCCAACCCCAAGGCTCACTCACCGGAAATAGCTTTGGTCCTTCGCTTCATGGAATCTGTCTGTTAGGCAGGCCTTCGCTCTGAGCCTCTTTCTGGGAGGTGATGGGAGCTGTAAAAGGAGGTCCTGTCCCACCCTAAAAAAATCTCTATTGGCTGGTGTATCTCTCTGAAAGTCCCTGTTTTGCAGGTCCAATCTTTTGGGTTCCTGGGATAGCCAGAGTGCCCAAACCCAACAGAAATTCATCGTTTCCTCCCTGACAGGAAGAAGCTGAGACCACTTGGCCTGAAGGCAGACCAGGAATTGGAGTGAGGGTGAAGCACTGTGAGGAGCTGGGGATAGAGGTAGTGGAAGGAAGGGACAACAATATAGGAAGAAGGATGAGGGCACAAACCAAAATTTGCCACTGAGCATTTTTCCCCTGGTCCTGCACTTTCCACCACTTTTTCAGTTGGCATGGTTGAAGAAAACAGAAATCTGTATGATACCCTTGGAGTCAGGATTCTGGGAGGAGGGGTGGAGGTGCAGAAGGAGGAGACATGGGGTCCTCCTCTGGGGAGCTTCCTGGAGGGTTGCCCAGTCACACATAGACATGGGATAGAGAGAGATGTCCAAACCCTGAAGGCCAGAGAAGGGAGGTGTGTGGGTGTGTGTGTATGTATGTGAGACTTCCTGAAGTAGGTAGGACATGAACTGAGACTTGGGGGAGAGAAGGTGGGTGAGGAGGGGCAGTCCTCCTGAGGTGAGAGCCCAGACATACACACCAGCCACATCAGACCATGTCGTAGACAGGCCCCTTTCTCTGTCCCATCTCACCCCCCGCCCACCACCACCACCACCACAGCACACACACACAGCCTTCAGCTCTGCGGCCTGGTCTAGGAATGGCAGACTCCCACCAAGGGTCTCAATCTCCCTCCAGTGCTCAGAACACAGGGGCTGCCCGGTGAAGGGCAGGGAGGCACCTGGTGCGGAGAAGACAAGAGCACTTGGAGACAAGGGTCTTTGTCTTCCGTCTGTGCCCTCCTCCTCTGGGAGAGTGGGGAATGGTCTTCTCTGAAGGGGAACTGGTGGAGAGCAGTGCTCAGAGCGCCTGCTCCAGAGCAATACCTGGGGCCAGCGCTCCATTCTCCCCTATATCTCTTCCTGGTGCCAAGAGGCCTGCCTATTCCATGTTCCTGACAGTAGTGTGTGAAACCTTCGCCTGGGGAGAAAAGACCTTCAGGTACCAGCAAATGTGGGCTGACCTTCAAGCGGTCACTTAAGCTTGGAGATGGTTCCGAGGGAGAGGGACTGAAAAGACCCTCACTGTCCCCTAAACTATCCGAGCCTCCCCCTGCTGGCCTGGTAAGGTGGGTGAGGGGCATCTGGGCTATGAGCTCAGGTGACAGCCTGCTCTCTGCCCCTTCCGGGGAGCTTGTGGGGAGCTGGACTTCTTGGAAGAATTAGATACAAGTGGTTGGACTTCAGACTGGGTGTTACATTACCTTGTGAGGAACAGAAAGTTGTTTTCTAAGGAATTCTTTTCGGGGGAATGAGGTGAGGTCTCTAGGTTTTGAGCCTCAGAATATTCAAGACCATGGTTTCTGTTGGATATTTGCAGCTTAAAGACAGTGAATCTGCCTACAGAAAAACAGCCACCTTCTCCTGTTGCTCTCAGAGACCCCAGGGAGGATACCCCAGGGAGGATGCCCCAGGAAGCCTCCTAGAAAGATTCCCAACTCACCTCCCCAAGCCTCTTTTAGTTCTTTGTATCTACCTCCCCACTGTGTCCTCTTCTCTTTGGAACATACCCCTCCTCTATCTCCACTGAAGGTGCTGTGGCTCAGGAGCAGTCGGGGCTGGGGGGCTGCCACCAAGGAGCTGGGCTGCAAAGCCAGCTGGGCCAGTCAGCTTTGCAGAGTTGACTGAGAGAAGAGCTGAAAGCACAGGAGGCCAGATGTGAATATGTCAGTTCTATAAAATAAACCCACACGCCAAGTAACTAATGTATGCATAGAACATTAAAGAGAGAATATAATTTATTAAACTCGGGGGGGAAAGTCATAGATTCCTTGAAAACTTGCTGGAAAGACTCAGGTCACTTTGCACCCATTTAAGGGAGTTCTGGGATCCCCGAAGCTCATCCATCATCTGGTTAAGAACTCCTGATTTGCAATGTTATTTAAGAAAATCCAAGACACAGTTCTCATTAATTTCTGCTTATATTCAATGGCTTATGCTCCTGTTAATATTCTACTTACAGTGTGTGGTTCCTTCATAGCTCCTATTTTTTTTAAAAAACTTTTTTGTTTATTATTATAAATGGCTTATTTCAAGCATAAAAGTAGAAATGCTTGCATAATGAACGGTCATGTACCCACCACCTAGCTTCAACATATATCAATTCATGAATTATTTTGAAGCAAATCATAGATATCAAGTCATTTTATCAGTAAACACCTCAGTTTCCCCCGATGATTTCAATGCTGCATTGATGTCTAAAGGCTGGCTCTGGCCTTCTGTGCAGCTTGGGGGTCACTCTGCCACCATGGCCCCTCTCCCACAACCTTATCCGAGGACAGACACTGGGTCCTGGTCCGAGCCCCTTACCCGCTCAGCACCTGCCAGCAGCACTTTCACAGTTCTCTTAGCTCTTCCATCCTTTTGTACTTTCTTTGCTCTCACTTTTTTCTCTTTTCTTCTTTTCCTTCTCCCATCCTCTGTCTATAATGCTAATATGAAAAGAATATATTTATTGAGACCTTTCATTTAATAGCTCCCGTCTCCTGGGTTTTTATAAAGATCTAACTTTTTTTGTATTCTAAGGAGGATCCCCCTTCCCTCACAAAGAGCACCAGTACAGCTAGACACAAACATACCAGAGCTTCCCCACCTGCACTTGGGTCTCCAAGTCATCTGCCTTCCAAGTGCTGCTTCCTCTAGTCTGGGCAAGTCTGCAGCTCCCGTGGCATGAGGTTGGCAGGGCCAGTGTTGGGATTATACCCCAGTGACCCTTCCCCACCCTGCTTGCCCACCTGGTAAGGTGGGTAAGGGACATCTGGGCAGTGAACTCAGAGGCCCAGCCCAGCCCAAGGTGACATCACACTTGGCTGCGAATGACAATTGGCTATTTTCCAAAACAAAATCCACCCCACAAATAAAAATTATCAGCTACCATTGATGTACCACCCTCAATAGACGATTAACTTCTAAAGTCGAATGTTGAGTAAATATTGATTCACTGCCTGCATGAGTGAATGAGTTAAGGAAGGAAGGAAGGAACAAA